ATTGAAGTCATAGGACACAAACTAGGTATACCAGAAATCTGTTGCATTTCTATCTACTAATAACAAACTATCAGAAAGAAAAACTGACAATCCCATTCACAATTGCATTAATAGAATAAAATATCTATGAATGTGTTTAACCAAGGAGGTGAAATATCTCTACATTGAAAACTATATATCATTGCTGAAATAAACTGAAGAAAACACAAGCAAATGGAAAGATATAGCATGCTTATGGATTACAAGAATTAATATTGTTAAAAGGACCATATGAACCAAGGCAATCTACAGATTCAATGCAAACCATCTCAAAATGCCAATGATACTTTCACATAACTAGAACAAATAATTTTAAAGTTTGTATGGAAAAATGGAAGACCCCAAATAGCCAAAACAATCTTGATTAAGAAGAACAAAGCTGAAGAGAAAGAAAGAGGCTGGAGGAATAACTCTCCCAGACTTCAGACAATTGTATACAGCTACAGTCATCAAGACAGCATGGTGTTGGTACAAAAACAGATATATAGACCAATGGAACAGAATAGACAGCCCAGAAATGAAGCTACAAACTTTTGGTCAACTCATCTTCGACAAAGGAGGCAAGAATATACAATGGAATAAAGACAGTCTCTTCAGCAAATGGTGTTGGGAAAACTAGACAGCAGCATGTAAAGCAATGAAGCTAGAACACTCCCTTACACCATACACAAAAATCAACTCAGGATGGATCAAAGACTTAAACATAAGACAAGATAAAATAAACCTCCTAGAAGAAAATATAGGCAAAACATTATGACATACATCTTAAAAATGTCCTCCTAGAACAGTCTACTCAAGCAATAGAAATAAAAGCAAGAATAAACAAATGGGACCTAGTGAAACTTAGAAGCTTCTGCACAGCAAAGGAAACCATAAGTAAAACAAAAAGACAACCTACGGAATGGGAGAAGATTTTTGCAAAGGAAACCAACAAAGGCTTGATCTCCAGAATATATAAGCAGCTCATATGACTTAATAAGAAACAGCTAAACAACCCAATCCAAAAATGAGCAGAAGACCTAAACAAGCAATTCTCCAAGGAAGACATACAAATGATCAATAGGCACATGAAAAAACACTCAATATCACTAATTATCAGAGAAATTCAAATAAAAACTACAATGAGGTATCACCTCACAGCTGTCAGAATGGCCGTCATTCAAAAGTCCACAAATGACAAATGCTGGAGAGGCTGTGGAGAAAGGGGAACCCTCCTACACTGCTGGCGGGAATGCAGTTTGGTGCAGCCACTGTGGAAAACAGTATGGAGATTCCTCAACAGACTAGGAATAGACTTATCATATGACCCAGGAATCCCACTCCTGGGCATATATCCAGAAGGAACCCTACTTCAGGATGACATCTACACCCGAATGTTCATAGCAGCACTTTTT